GCCGCCAATATGACGTCATATCGGCCACAAATCTGGATCAGCTCCGTTGTTCCCCCGTTTTTAGAGATTTGGGTACGGAGGAAAAGAGAGAGGGTTTTATTTTCTGACGCTGAGTGAGTTCCCTGACACACCGGGGACACATCTTTATGTATACAAAACATCAAAAAGTGCATTTTGCATGATAGGTCCCCTTTAAAGTTGCATTTTAAAAACCTGGACAAAAATATGTTATCAGTATTTTAGGGCGAGGTTTCACAATCCATTCTATAGATACTTTTTTGGATTGATTTGGTGGTCTCTAATTGAATCAAAGAGAGGTTTATGAAGTAGTAAGCTTTTTCTTTGTCTCTGATCGTTATTTCCAATCCTCTTTAGGTCATGTCACACAACAAGGAGAGACGATCAAAACGTGACGAAAAACTTGACAAAAAGTCCATGGCCATGGAGGAGCTGAAGGCCGAGCGCGAGAAGAAGAAGAACAGAACAGGTCGGTTGGATTTCTTTTAAATGATTTGTGACGTTAATGCTCTCAATCGTTTCCTAAATCTGACTTTTATTCGGTTCTGTTGAGCAGCTGAACTGCTGTCCAAACGTCAGCCTCTGAAGACCAGCGAGGTTTACTCCGACGATGAGGAGGAAGAGGAGGAAGACGACGACAAGTCTTCCGTCAAAAGTGATCGCAGTTCCCGTTCGTCGTCCTATGATGAAGACGAGTGAGTTTCACTTTGCTCCTAATGTTGATAACAACACATTTCTCTGGATTATGAGTAACGTAACTTTTGAAAGCACATCCACCAGGGTGTACCTGGAAAAGTCATGGAAATTCTAAATGCTAATTCCAGGTCCTGGAAAAGTTTTGGAAAACAATATTTTTTTTCAAAGTTTTGGAAAAGTCATGGAAATCAAATAATTTATATTTTATCTAACCGCCAAAATAGTAATACTATAATGATGATAAATACGGTAACATATAGTAATGAAATGGCATTTAACTGTCGAGGCATTTTGCTGGTGAGAGATTTGAGTTGCGTTAGCGTGTAGCAGCTAGTCAGCTACTATTGGATCTGTTTTAGATACGCACAACATGGTTCATACCTTATTTTCCTGTTCCATGTTAAAATAAACCATTTCAGTGGTACCGCTGAGTCATTTCTTTTAGTCATGGAAAATTAGGGAAAGGTCATGGAGAAGTCATTGGTGAAAAAGTGTATGAACCCTGGCCTTTGTAGATCTTACAGTTTTACATAATCCTGCCTACAATACATTATAAAATAAAAATGTAAAACACTGTTTTTTTATTATGAATGATTTTTCCACGTCCTGCTGCTGTCGTTCCTCAACTCCCGCTCCCTCAGACATGGCACGAGTTTACAACTGGGACGTGAAGAGAAGGAGCAAAGAGAACCTCCTCAAATCTGCAGAAAAGTCTTAATACCGACAGCGTCCACATCCCGTCTGCTAAATATGTTCTACTCGCATAAATACCAATAAAGACCCAGTCCCCTTCAAGTCATGTGTATGTTCACCCCAGAGCTCGGCGGAGAAGAGGGCATATTTCAAAAAGTTGTTTGATTTAAATCACTCTTCATTTGAAATATGCCCTCCGTTAAGTCAAGTTTCCACCACTGCTGTTTTCAGTTGATTTGTTACTTTTTAAAGTATTTTTTTCAAGTAAAAAATAACCAAAACAAAGGCAAATTTTTTTGTATTCTTTTTATTGATTTAAGAATGTTACTCCTATCTTTGGAAGATTTATGTGTGAGGGTTTTCTTGCATCGTCTTCCTGCTCCTGCTTTTCCCCTCCTTACCGACCTGCACTTGTTTTTGTTGTCCCTTTTCTCACTTTTTTTTTACTCGAGTTAATTATTGGAACACATCCAGTTGCCGTTATACTCGGTAGATTCAGATTTATAGGATGATGACAAAGTGGTTCAGTTTTCACTCCGCCTTCTCTTCAGCCTCAGCCGCTGTTCTGTCTGTATTTATTTGTCTCTCACTGTATTCACTATACGATGAATGAAGTAAAAGAAGAACATTTGGGCAAAGAGAAAATACCTTCACCTGGTGTGTTTATTCCTCGATTTCAACAGATGGGTTAGAAAATGTTTTTTAACCTGCAGGTAACATGTGGTTGTTGTTTTAAGCATGCACGCCGTGGACAAGTTCTTCTCCAGCAGAGCCTGGGCTTCATCGATGTCGTACTCTAACATCACGTTAGCCTTCGGAGGGAAATGTCGGGGTGGGACGGAGTGAAAGATGAAGAGAGGATTTCAGTTATGGCGTTCTCAGACTTCACCTCTCCTATGTCTCAGTAAAACAGCTCTCATGCAGGGTCTCACACCACACATCAGGAAATACAACTGACTCTAATCTAAGCGGAATTTACCCCTAACCATAGGCACACTTTATCGGTGGGCGGCACTGGAGCCTTGCAGTAAACATTGTCGGCCAATAGGAAGTGCGTGTCCATGGGAGTTTTGGTGTCCTGAGAACAAAACATAACAAATGGTCAGAAGGCTGCATTTATAAAACATATTTTAATTATTTAACTCAGTCTGTTTTTGAGAAATGTTTCATTCTAACACAATGCTCAGATTGATTTACGCTGACACTTGTATCTAATTGAAAGCCTTGCAAATGTTTATAAAGAAATAATACAGACAAGATCTAAAAAAATACCCGGATCTCGTATGCCTTACAATTTTTTTCGTCGCGCGCTAGTACATACTTCGTTCTTTTGGTTAGGTTTTAAAGAATTGAACTGAAAAATCTAATTAATTTTAAGATACCATATTCGGGAGAAATGTACTGATACTATAATATCTTCGACATTATCAATCTGGGAGTTTTTTGGGTCTTTAATCCAAACAGTTTTTAATAGTTAATAAAAGAATTAATAAAAAATAGCCATTCATTAGGGTACTCGAGTTTCTACCTACTCTAACTGCGTACTTATAAAACGCAAATAACACACCGGCCTTTTTCTTTCTGCATGTGTCGCAGGCCCACCCCGCTCTTCCCTATCGGCCGGTGCACTGTCCGACGCATCCTCCGGCCCCTCCCCGGGCGTGGTCGCGAATCCTGGCCTTCCTCAACCTACTCACCCCAGTCAAGAGCAAACAGCTACCAAACCCCATTCTCCAGTTAAAACTATACGCTCCTTCATAACAATCCGAACCCACTAAGTCCTCCCCAACCTTATTCTTATCCGCCGACCGCATAGACTCGCAAAAGTCCTCTTATCCCTCCCCTTGTACTCGAGCCGTGCTTTACCCTGAGCGTCTCTCTCTCGGGAACCACGGTTTGCGAGCTCACCATCGTACCTTCTCCATACTTCTCTCGGCTGCTGCCTCCCGCTCAGCATTCTCAGCCCGCACGAGTCTGCAGCTCGCTCTCTCCCGCCACCCACCCGTTGCCCACCCCAGCCTTTCATTCCACTAAAGCGACCTGCCACCATCCTCCTGCTACGGCCACCAGCCGACGACAGACAGCCGACATTAAAAGAGAGACCTCTCAACTCCTAGCATACATCTCTTAAGCTTCCGCCGCTCCAACCGTCTCTTGAGTATGCCCCCCTCTGTAAAAACCATTCCATGCTCCCCAAGGACCGCAAAGGGTACGAACGGCCACCCCCAACGCCTTCCCTCGTAGTTCGCGGCCTAACCTCCTGAAACTCGACTCACTACACAACACCATCCTATTAAAAGCAACCTCAAACACCCCCTGTAACATATCATTCCCAATTTCTATATACTGAAAAGTCGTGCACCTTGGTTCAACAATAAAAAAAAATGGTTTCTTTTTCAAAATGGTAAATGTTAAGTCCTAAAATATGAACACTTCAAACGCCAATTTGCTTCCACCTCAGCCAGAGTACAGGAGGCTCACATGTTTTCTACTTGTAATACAAGAAAGGAAATGCACGGTACTTACAATACAAGTACGATACAATATTCCCGAGTGAATGGCCTTACTCTCCTTAACTTCCATACCGACGCTCTACTTTTCCATTCCGCGCCTCATCTTTATACTTTCGTAGTCTACTACAGGAAAATGCGTTGAATACATGCCCGGGCGGCGCTGCCGTGCGGTAGCGGAGGCGGATTCCTAAGTAGTGAGGTGGACACGGGGGCGGCGGTTAAGATCGCTACCGTCCGCGTCGAGGTACCTGCCAATCCCCAAAACTCATTATATAGTTAAAGTTACAATCACCACCACTGCGTACTCACCGACCATCATTCTAAGTGCGCGCCTCGTCTCAGTAACCTTTCAACATTACATGTTGATAAGTTGTGCTTTTGGAAATCGGTACGGGTGCTACCTAATGGCATGACCCGTGCATCGGTACGGGTGGGAGAATTCCGAAAGGTAACATACTGGTCTTACTCGGGGGCCGCCGCGGTCAGCGCTAAAACGTACCCTTGCTTAGAGTCGGATGCCGCCACGCCCAGTTGTCCGCGCCCGCGAGCCGCCGGGCAGCGATCGATATTTCCCTGGAAAAGGCG